TGCTGAGATCTGCAAAAGAGGCCCTATCTAGGATGGGCCCGGGAGATTGGCAAACACGGGTTGACCACTATTTGCTAATTCTGCACATCACACCCATGCCACTACAGGGAGAAGCCTCTCCAAGCTTCTCATGGGTTGCCGGCTAAGGTCCCACTTAGACAGGCTACACCCAAACTGTTCTGCTGCATTGCCCCCTGACTCCAAAAGCAAAATTCAGAATTTTAGCATAGGGGATTCAGTTTACGCCTACAACTATGCCGGGGGAACTCTGTGGATTCCTGCCACAGTGATAGGCATCACCGGGCCTCGCTCTTATCTTTCAGAGCTCAAGAACGGTCGGAATTGGAGAAGGCACGTTGACCAACTCCGTGGCCGCCTCTTCAACTCCACTCTTAGATAGCCAGAGGTAACTCCGGCATGAGTTAGTCAAAGCCCTACCCAAACGGAGCAAGAACTCACTCCATCCACAGGCAGCTGAAGCCCGAGGGTACCAGGGAACTTATCTGGTTGGGTTGCAGGCCCACAGCGAGCTCCGAGCGAACTGGCTCTAGAAGCTCCAGCCACGGCCTGTGAAAGGTTCCAGGAGCTTCCACCAAGCAGAGCTGCGGAGCAAACAGGTCTGTCTGACCTGCCCAAAGAACACCCTCCAACTGAACTGCACAGGTCAGGCAGAGGTACCAAAAAGCCCGCCTACCTGTGTGACTACGTAACCAGTAAGATTACTCCATTTAAGAGGGGAGGGGTGTTAGCTACTAGCCTCAGCTATAATAGTTTCCACCAAGGTCCTCTGTTCCCACTGTCAAAGGGTCTGACAGCTCCCTATAAAAGGGCTGCTGTCAGACTCAACCTTCGCTGGATTGTACATAGTTGCTATGAGTTAATAAAGAGCTGTTGTTACCATTAGCCTGTGTGTGCCTTTCCATTACTCGATCTAACACTTGTCTTTGGAGAGAATTGGATTATAAACTTTATCTGGTGGATTTAAATATTAGAGCTTGTTGGACTATAAAGATTAAAGATAAATGAAAGATTATAAAATGTAAAATTTAAAGTGTAATTTAAATTGCTATTGAGAAGATGAATAGGTGTTGCTATATTAGACAACGTTAAAATTGAGTAACCGGAGGGTGGGGGTGAGGAAGAGTGCTCTAAATCTTACCAAAATTGGTAAAAATATTTCTTCTCCGGCACCCTCCTCTGGAGCTTCCAGTCCAGTGAACTATAGACTCAATACTCCAACAAGAAAAAGCTAATAACTTTCAAAGAGAAATGCAGACGTTACAGATGATTCAAGAAATAATTGTCTCAAAGAAAGAAGATAAGGAAGAATAATGATGAGATAATATGAGATAAAAAGTAACTAATATAAAATGGAAGAAAAAACAGATAAGATGAACAGATCCTTAATATAAATTCCCAGCTAGAAAATTTTCAACAATGCATTACAAAGAGTGAACTGGGAGGGGGGGGGGGATAAAACCTAAGATTTATTCAAAAATTCCAGAATGGCTCATAACAATGAAAGTCTTTACATATCCAAATCTGGTGAAGTTTGAAAACATTGTGACATATAAACATATTTTGAACCCTGAAGGGAAATCTAAGCAAAAGTTTGAAGACTATATTATCATGGTGGCCTCAATTGCAAATGCAATCTAGATACGACAAATACATGAAAAAGTATGGCCTCTATAAAGGGCAAATAGTCTTTGATCAGATATTGTTGAACTCTGATGAAAAATTAAGAAAAGGATCTATGGCAATGGCAACTTCTTATAAAGAAATTTTATATAAAATGTTTTATAGATGACAGCTAAAGTTATAGCTAAAATGTTTAAAAATATGTCTAGCATATTACTATATGTGGTGGACTTGTGTTAAAGTAAAAAAAATTGGAAAATGCATAAGTGATTAGAAAAGATGACAGGAAAAATATGTAGATTTTAAACCTGAACTGTTTTTATTAGGTATAACATCAGAACAACTAAATTGTGGAGGTTAAGAATGTAATCTGTATGGTTAAACAAATTAAATAACCAAGACAATACAATGTTTATAAGCACTAACGAAATGTAAACAGAAAATCAATAAAATCTAGAGACAAAAAAGAGCTTATCTAAAAGATACTTGAGCATTTGAAATGATCCATTCTGTTGTCCCCAATTCGTGTCTGAGCCTGGTGCCGAGGCCAATGATGGACGCCAGACACAAGGTGCAGGTTTTGATTGCTTTTTATTGGGATACCCCAAGGAAAAAGGATTTCTGGCCAAAACGCCAAGAACCAAGAACAAATGATTAAGAAAGCTTTATACATTTTCACTATAGGAGGAGGAGGGACAAGGTGAGATAATAAGAAATATCATTTAATGAACATTTTAGTAATAATTCTACAATTTGTTCTATTGATCTCTAGCTGCCCCTATTCCTAAGCCTTGGCTAATGAATGCCCAGGAGTTATTTAATACACATTTCCTTTGCTGCAAGCCATCTCTGTTCCTAACTTTTAGCTGAGGTCTGCAAATTGTCTAACTCATTACTTTTATCAGCTTTCTAACTACCTATAATTGCTTTACACATGCGTATTTCCTGTGGATAAGCATTCTTTGTTCTTGCCAGACCCCCAAAATTACAGTCTTCCTGATTTACTTTCAAGTGCGTATCATGACCTTGCTTTATTTTAGCAGCCAGCCCACCAATTCAATCAATGATTTTCAATAAAATAGATGTAGTGTTTCTTTTAAAAAGGTCTTTAACAATAGCCTGTATCCGGTCTCTTAATCTCATTTTGCATTTCATTTTGAATCATGCTATTTCTCCACTCCTTCTTTGTAAAGATAGCCCTTGCTTTACAACAGTTTAGTTACCATTATAAAAAAGATGTTGAGACTGAAAAGAGTGCAGAGAAGAGCAACAAAAATGATTATGGGGTGGAGGCTAAAACATATGAAGACCAGTTGCAAGAACTGAATGTGTCTAGTCTAAAGAAGAGAAGGACTAGGGGTGATATAGCAATGTTCCAGTATTTGAGGGGCTGCCACAAAGAGGGGGGGGGGAGTGGTCAATGTTAACTGAGGAATTCTGAGTTAAACCTACATATCTTAAAGTTGCTCAGTGGAAGAACAATTGAGCAGGACTTAAAGGTTCTTCAAATATACTTTTCCCAGTGCTTAAAAAAGGAACACTGTAAATACTTTTCTGCTGTTCAAGAGGTTGGCAAAGTTAGAAGTGTCAGGACAATCTGACTTTATAATCACTGCAGTTCACTTATCAAGACTGGCTTTAGGTGCCTTTCTTAAAGAAAAAATATATAACTTTATACCATAATTTTATCCACCTTTTGGAGTTTTCTCCTGCATTCTTGCTAAGAACGCAGCCCCTTATTTTCTTGCATCTGTGAAAGGAATCAGCGCATGCTGGTCTTGGTTTAGTTTCTTTTTTTTCTAAGATGATTTTTTGTCTTGTAGGCAGCACATTAGAGGAAGGCAGGGTAGCCAAAGTTGTACAGTTGCTCATAGGGTGAAGGTTCAAATCTAACTATGAAAATTCACTGGAGCCAGTCTACATCACACTACTATTGTGAGAATATATACAAAGAGATCTTCCCATGCAAGCTATTTTGGACTCCTAAAAGTGTAAATCTGACAAATACTTAACTAAAAAGCATTTATTTATATGCCACCCATCTCCCTGCTAAGGCGACTATGGACAGCTTGCTTGTTTTTTAAATGTGTTGCCGCCTATCTGGTTGTGGAATTACTCTTGATAGCTTATAATAAAAAGGAAGAAAATGAAAGCAATGTAACCAGAAGCAATATAATAGAATAAAATAAAATAATGAAAAACACAATGAGAATACATCAATATAAGAAAAAATAAAAAACAAAAAACTAAAATATGTTAACATTATACAAATAAAAAAGAAAACATGTTATAGGATTTGAAGGGGAAAGATTTTTTTTAATAACGTCCTGTCATAAGCACTTTTTGGAGGATCTGTTATAACTACAAACAGTCACTAAGCAACCATTGTCACTTGAGGAGTACCTAGACTTACAAACTAGCAGGAACTATTTCCAACATGGAAGTTTGAATTCCTGAGTGTGACTGTGGCAGGGAGTCCCACAGGAACAACCAAGTCCACATCCTGAAAGGGCAACATTTAAGAAAAAAAGCACAACTGGCAGCCACGTTATGAACTAGAAACCTTTATCTTTTGTTGCTTACTTCACCCTGAATCCTTTCATGTTTTTAGAAGAATTCATGGCAAGTAATGAGTGGAAGAACCTTTTCAACTATTCAAGAATGCATCAGAAAGCAGGATTAAAACATCACACAATCACATATTCTTTATTGATAATTGTTACATTCAGAGGGACGGTACAATTGCACAATAATTATTGTACAATTATTGACAGTACAATATGTTTGCAGTTGATGGTTGCATTGTAAAAGCATTTCATATCCTTCATCTATTCCTCTTTTGCTAAAGCAGCAAAAGTCAAACAACCTTTCCTGTTTAAAAAGGCACTCTTTGTCTTATTAATAGTGGCTAAAACAAATGAGAAAAGTGAAACAAAAGACATTTGTGTTTTCTAAAATACATACCCCTCACCAAATGAAAAAATAAAGCAAAATCACCCACCTACTGTTTTAAATGGCCACTTACTCTGGCTTTGTTGTGTCTCCACTTGCATTGAACTCTCTCAAGTCATCAAAAAGTGTGTTTGTGGTGGATAGAAGAGAAATTGGGAGTTTCTCTACCTGATCCCTAAGCTAGAAGTATCTCATCCAACCTGTTGCTCTGAGTATGCATGGAGACAGCATTTCCCAATATTCTAAGCCAATGAAACTGGGAATTCTGGGAGCTAGGGTGCAGAAGGCAGTTTCAATGTATGTTGGATATAGTTTCTGCAGAGGTTTTTTCCTCTCCGCCACTTGCATGCAAACCACGGTTTAAGAAAGAAGCTTCCTGCCAAATGGAAAAGTGCCCTTATCAGCTGTTCTTTTTACAGAGCATTTAAAATAATGTTGGCTAAAATAAGGTCTCAGGTCCCCTTTGAGACTCATGGCTGGGAGAACGCCATATCTTCTAATCCCAATCTCTAATGGAAAGATTGAAGAGAGCAATTTAAATATCTCAACTAGGGGTTCAGTGGTGTGAAAGGGGGGGGAAGAAGCAAGATAATCCGTGTAAACCAAAGGTTATGTGGGTCAGGGAATGGGTAGCACACAAGTAAAAGACATTTCTAGGATACAGAGCAGCACTTACTAAAAAGATGTTAAAAAAGAATAGTTCAGTTCCTAATGCTAAAAAAGCTAAGGACACCAATGCTCAGGACTGAGCTTGGGGCTTGCTTAATTTCTCCTCTCTCCAGTTAAAAATCTGTCTCCTCCTCCTCCTCCTCCTCCTCTTTCTCTTCTTCAGGTACAACCCCCAGTGGCCCTCCTAGGATAAATATGGGTAGTTTCATCACTTCACGAATGGGATTTCCAAAACCCCAAAGCACATTGGCCACAGCTGTGGGCAGCTCTGAGGAACTCTGGGATTCTTCAGGCACCGAGGATGGAGGATCAGGAGCTGCAGAGGCAGCCCTTTCAGGCGGAGGGCTGTCAATAACAGATGTGGCAGGAACCCCTTGGATCAAGTCCAGCTGGGCATTAGCCACTCTTTGCGCCTCCTGGGCCTCCAAGCATTCCATCCGATAGCGCAGTACGCAGAAGAACACAATGAAAGAGGTGCTGAGCGCAAGTGCTATAGCAATGAACTCAAGGACATCTGAAAAATAAGGGACCAGTTGTTACAGGTAGTCATTGACTTAACAAGTTCATTTACTGACCGTTCAGTTACAATGGCACTGGAAAAAGTGACTTATGACCATCTTTCAACCTACCACCAAGCTGCAGTATCCCCATCGTCACATGATCAAAATTCATATATATGATGGTTCCAGTATCCTAGTGGGTCATGTGATCGCCATTTGTGACCTTCTGACAAGCAAAGTCAGATTCACTTAACCGTTACTAGCTTAGCAACTGCAGTGATTCACTTAATGACTATTTCAAGAAAGGTTGTCAAATGGGGCAAAACTCACTTAATGTTTCACTTAACTAAAGTTTGGGCTCAATTGT